GGTATCTTGCCAGTCAAAGAAAATAAATGTTACCTGGCCAAACTGAAATGTGACACTACCAGACCCGTTGAACAAAAATTGGAGACAAGATGTTTTTCTACCGACGTGTCTGATTTACCGCAGTGTTAAAAAAACTGTGGCGAGCGCGACGGTGGAGTTTGATAAGGTTAACATAGCTAGGCTACTTACATGCTTGCTAACCTTTTTGGGTCTCCACATTGACAGCATGTTGGATGGATCTGTGCAGCGCTGTTTATGATACTACCATTCAATACACAGACTGGTCCGCTGTCAAGTGTTTGCGAGAGAGAGAGAGAGAGAGAGAGAGAGAAAGAGCAGGCGAATATGCGCTGCACGCAACTCTGCAGTCAATTACAACTTTTCCCATCTTAAATTGTTAAAAACACGGAAATCAATATGTGGCGGTCAGCGCTGAGAATGTGGTGGGCTGCCACTAATAAATGTATGGGAAACACTGTACCGGTTATCACTCAGATAAACATAGGCTATTTTAATACCGCCGTCTCCCTCATAGGAAACCTTGACATTTTTATTTTGTCATTTCACTTTGACATTTTTATTTGCTCCCTAGGTCAGGTTGCACCCCACAGCTCAATAACCTGCTCATCACCTTAAATTTCACTGCATTTGTAGTCAATGCCATATTATCCAGTAAACACTAATAAACGAACAGAACGGAAGTTAACTTTGGGCCAGCTCATCACCATGGCAACGCGTCTGATGAAACCGTCTATAAGTAACTTTGCAGCTAGATGTCAACTAACTCTCATTATAGTATTGGCACACTATAAAAGCACACTATGCTTAAAGGCACACTATGTAGAAATTGTGTTTTTGTCAAACAGCGACCCTTTTAGTTGCTGTGGAATACTTGCACTGTTGTATATAGCTAGCTAGACATTTGGAAATTATTGGACTGGTCTAATTATCAACAATGGATGAATGCACCAACTTGCGTCCAGTTCCTCACATGGTCAGATTATCTTTTCCTTTTCCTGCGTTTTCTTTGCTTTTTCCATCGTCAAGTATCATGTCTGAAATGCGTGCAAGTGTCTTTGTGCTTCATATGTTGTTGTTGGTGTGTGTGGCGTCATTGCCGTAAAACCATGTCGTGATTGTTGCAAGATTTATCGGGGGCGCTCCTCTCAAACTTACAGCGTCCCCCTCCAAGCTTTACAACCAGGATGATTCGTCCTATTATGAGTTTGTTTACCACCGAAATTACTTTGAAGTTGTTATATTAATGTACAATAGGCTTTATGCACAACTTACTGTCGCATTCTGTAAAACAGGTCGCATCGCTTCCGGTTCGGCTTCATGAAATTTTTTTGCGAATTTTTTGCAAGATAACTTAAGCGAGCAAAGATTAGCATAACCAATGTCCCTCACATGTGCAGATTGATATTTAAACGTTTTATATTTTTTCTTCTTCACAGTAACGTTTAGACATTTAAATAGAATAAAACGCCAATAACAAAGTAAACTATGTAGGTTAGCTGATTACCTTAAAAATCCATAGATATCGTAGTCAGTTCTTACGGCCATTGACACTTTTACCTGACAAGCGGATGCGATGAGACCCGTTTTCCGGTTTGGTCACGTGACCCTCGGCATAAAGCCTATTCTTGCATAGTGCTCCTTTAATATCTCTTTATTATGATGATCCTCCAACAGACATTCTACTGACTATAAGGCCACGTTTACACAAAGCCGGGTATTTAGAGAAACATTTATTTTCCCCCTCTCCGTTTTCAATAATAACATCGTGAACACACCCGCATAAATACGCCGTCGAGCGCCATCATATCTATGCCAAACCTATGGACGGCAGATAAATGAATAAAATGGATAAAATGGATAAAGCCATGCAAGCCAATCAGAATCCTCACAATCGACAAGAGAGAACCTAAAACGCTATTTCTCCCAGTTGACACGACAACACATAACCGGCGTTTTCAGAAATCTCCACTTTGGCCGGAGTTTTTAGAAATAATCGTTTTCTGTGATAAAAACGGGGTTTTTGTGTAAATGAGAGGCCAAATATCTGCGTTTTCCCTTCATGTAAACAGGGCCTAAGTAACTTTGAAACTACAGTACATATCAGTTAGTAGACATGTAGGTGTAACGTTACTTATAGTAAACAGAATGTGTTAAAAACACATCAAAATAAAGTCAAACCAGAAAGACTTACAAGTTTGGAAGCACATGATGAGGGTTTTAGGTCCCTTTAACACATTTTAACCCACTAAAATCCAAAAACCTCAGGTTCTCAATTGGGTCTTAGAGACCCCAAGGCTATTTGAAGAACTAATCTACTTTAAAAAATATATATATATAGTCTTTATATAGTTTCTATATAAGTTTCGGGGGAAAACTGACTGCAAACAGAAACAATGTTACCAGCATGGATACCAGTCTCCTGGCACATGCATCATTAATGGTAAAACAGATGGGCAAAGCTTTAATACTGTCTAATAGGTTTTGAATAGGTCAGAGGAATAAAATAATTTGAAAAGAAGAATAATTAATTAATTGATAGAAATTACAAAAACTGACCTTTAAAAGGAAACAAATTTGTTGGTAACATTATAATTAAACATAAAAATCTAAATTTTACACAGACACATACTATTCACACACCCTTTCTCTGAAATTACGGGGACTTCACAAGGGTTAAGTAAGGATGAGGATGAAACAATCTTCAAGCACAGACACTCTTTGGCTCTGAGTGCGTGTGTGTGCGCGTGTGTGTGTGTGTGTGGGGGGGGTGTGGGGGTGTGAGATGGAGCTGGAATGAAATGTTTCTCTAAATGGAATATTTCCTCAGGACTGAGAGCAGCTAATGTCAAACACTGGATTCATTTCCTCTCTTCTTCTCTGTTCTCTGAAAATGAGGGCAGCATTCCGCAATGGGTTTTTGAGCTTGGATGTTAGTATATAAATTTAATGCCTGCTAAATGTCTAAATGTTTAAAGTGACTTTGGTGCACAACCAGTGCTGTGTAGATAATTTACAAATAAATTGTAGTTGGTTACTGATTCCATAGTATATGACAAAAATTTTGTTTAGTAATGTAATCCATTACATTACACGTTTAAGGTAATATAATCAGACTACCATATTGAAATAAAAATACAAAGAGAAAGAAATATATAAATTTGTTTAATGACAAGCTATTAAGTAATTAAATCATCAAGTAATTAAAAATGTTAAATAAAAATAAATAAAAATAAAACACTTAAAATTTTGGTGACCTGCATTTTATGTTACCATTAAATGACATCAGAGAACCGTGAACCTAATTTGAGTTACTCTTTATTATCATTATTATTGACTTTATTTTTTATATATATATATATATATATATATATATATTGACCAAACCTATTAACTTAAAATCTCACGGGGATGCTTCAAGTACATATATTAAGTAAGAGAGGTTCAGCTGACAAAAAGGTGGGGAATTCCTGTATTGCATGTAAATGAAATGATGTGAATTTGTACATTTTAATGTGTTTGAAAGACAAACGCCTAAACATGTTTAAATGACTCACTGAGTGATAATTCAATCAATCAATAATGTGTTCGTCAGGAGTCGATATGTAATGTTGAAATCAAATGCTGTGGGACTGGGTCTCGGTTTTCAAAGATTGGCACATGACTATTGGCTGGTCTGTGTGTGCAATTCCACAAACCTTCTGAATGTACATAAGCAGTAGTCTTTTTTTTAGAAAGTAAAATTTAAAAGATAAAAAAAATAAGTAGTACAGGTACTATAAGGAGAATCAATTAATTATGAATAATTGTGAGAATTTCATGTAATCAATAAAAAAGTAACTGTAGTCTGATTACGAATATTTTAAAATGAAATATAAATACTACTTAATTTTTGGAATCTGATTACGTAATCCAGATTACATGTAATCAGTTACACAGCATTGTGCACAAAACATACTCTTCTTGAGCTATTAATGTGGAGAATACACTTTATGCTGCTTTGATAAATAATACTGGAGTAATATTGGGGAATTTACCCATTTTATTCACCAGAGGCCTTTAGACCATCGGTTCCCAACAGGGGGGTCGTCAGCGAACTTTGTGGGGGGTCGTGTCATATTTTGAAGGTTTGAGCAATGAGCATTAAATAAAAGTCCTTAACTTTTTTCTGTTCAAAATTTACAGAATGTATATAATGAGCGAGTTCATCATAAATCCATTTTCCAATCCGTGTTTTTGTCTTATCCTGAACCACTATGGTTCACCTATAATCAGTGTTTACATTGGAACTATTTTACACTGGTTCGGATCGCTGCCACTGCGGAGTTGCCCAGTATCTGCGTGACTCGTCATAGATGCACTACACAGAGAGAAGTATAGTTCCTGCTACACTGTTCTTTCCGAAAGACACATTATTCTGTTAATAAATGCAAGTTTATTATCACTCGCTATGGCGCCAAAAGCGTAAAAAATAAAGCCTCATAAATAACAAGCAAGTATTAAGGCCCCAGACAACAGTAATTTAGTAATAGCCTATATTCTTTCTTTTTTTACCTACACACCAGTGTGAATATTTTTGTTTTTGCATTTCAAATGAGGCCAATGTATATCTCCTAGGCTTAAGGGCCTACTGATGTTTTTGTTATTGTATTTTCAATATTATAGGCTTAGGTTATTATTTGTGCATAAACATACCATTTGTTTGAAAGAAAAAACATATTTTGTCATCCTTGCTGGAAGCTTACAAGAGCGATAATATCATTAAATATGAAGGGGGTATATTTTCTTGGGACAAAAAAAAAGGTTGGGAACCACTGCTTTAAACTATAGTTTCAAAGAATAGTATTCTGAATATATTGTGCTGATTTAACAAACTTAAATTAATGTTTTAAGCATCATTTAATTTTATTTTTTATAATAATAATTAATCAGGTGGGGTGTTTGACTCATAGGTTTGGAGTGTGTGTTAAAGCTTCAATTACCTTCCAGCTCCTCTTTCTCAAAATTCGTGTTGAGCATGGAGCGAGTTCCACCCCTGTCCAGCACAGCTTCCTCATCGCTTCGCTGCAAAACAAAGCACAGTGATTAAACACACAGTCACACATACAAATTCGTGTTCTCTTATAGATGATCACTGACAAATAACTCAGTAGAAAAATGTATTATTATTTATTTAATCAAAAATACAGTAAAAAAAAAAAAACTAGAAATGACGATTTGCTGCTAAAGAAATATTTATTATTATTAATGTTGAAAATAGTTGAGCTTGTTTGGAAAAATATACAGTAATATATTTTGTTAGGATTCTTTGATTAATAGAAAGTTCAAAAGAAGCGCATTTATTTGAAACAGAAATATTTAGTAAAACTTTAAATGTTTTACTGTGTACCCCTTTGGATCAATTCAAGCATCCTTACTGAACAAGATAATTCATTTCTTAAAGACCCCAAACTTTTGAAAAGGTGTATACATACTATATATGTTAATGTTATTTTCAGATTCGGTTAGTCATTGCAGTCATACTTGACTTGTTTTTAACCATGCAGGCACTGTTAACGGTATCACTTTATTTCGATAGTCCACTTTAGACATTCTACTAACTATAAGTAACTTTTCAACAACATGTCAACTAACTGTCATTATATTATTAGTAGATTGTCAGCTTAATTTTCTTCAAACACTTTATTTTGTTGGTCCCCAACAGACATTCAACTGACTATAAGTAACTTGGCGACTACAAGTAAACTTATACTCCTAACCCAAAGCCTATAACACCTATCCATAAGTCTAATGACAGTCTACAATTATATAATACTCTAATGAGAGTTACTTGACATGTAGTTGAAAAGTTACTTATAATTAGTAGAATGTCTAAAGTGACTATTGAAATAAAGTGTAAGCCTTTTAAAAATACACAAAGGTGGGAAGTTTGAACTCTATGAGTCACAAATTATTATTATTATTATTATTATTATTATTTTAAATAATTGCTGGACACCGCAAGTTCATTGAAGTGTTTTCATTCTCATTCTTCAATAATCTATTTTCCTTTTAAACAAGACCAGACAGAATCCTTTCCCCTAATTTTCATTGTTTTACGGACAACACCGGTCCATTCATGTCTCCAGGGCAAAATATACACTTAATGATACATGTTTCATCATTTACTCCTAATAAATGCCACACTGAGGCCATAACAGACAGGCCCTCATTCCCTCTCACACCACCAATGGATGACATCCCAAAATAAACAGCTGTATGCCTGAGCCTAACCTTGGCAGACAGTTTCCATGACGACTAATGTGGCCTGCCGCTAGTTGTCCCCAGAACATAAATGACATTGTTTTGGTCCCCTGTGAAGCCAAAGTCTCACTAGCCTGTGGCTCAGAATCCAAATCATCCACAGTCCAGAATAGATGGAGGACTCACTCATTCTCTTTAGCAGGGTAAATAACCGCTCACACATAATCAGTTGCAAGTCTTTAGAGTAACATCTGGCTACGGCCCACAACAGAACCAAAGCAATTCATTTTAAAGGGACAGATGACTGCAAGATGATCCGCATGTACATGAGTGCAGAAAGAACGATGGCATTATGGATGGACGACATTAAGAGCCATAAGAAGAGAAAGACAAGATTGCTCACAGCACAAGAGACAAGGAGAACTCAGGCCGGATGAGACACGGACCACATGGGAGTCCATGTGAGAGAGCCATGGGGATTATGGGAGAGATCAGCATATGGTGCAAGTTTGGTTGGTTTGATGACAACAGTGGATACATGTGGAAACAAGGAATCATTAAGGTTTCATATCAACCCTTCAACCCAACCCACATTTTTCAGCGCCGTTGGTTCCGGATGTATTTTTTCCATTATTTTTTCCCATAGTGATTTTCAAAAAGTCTTTGTTAAAGAGTTATAAGCCATGAACCAAGCCAATCAGCTATGAGGTGAATCGTAGCATTACAAACTTTGATTTGAAGCAACAAATTCACCGGTTTACACCGATTGGTGTAATTTTCTGGACAGCATCATGGGTAATGTAGTTTTTCTCCAGAAATTCTGCTGTTACATTCGATTTAAAAAAAATAAACTGAAACAATTCGGGCTGACGGCTTCAACAGAAGCAAATAATAAGGATTACCAACTTCACAGGTCACAGTAGGTCTGCTTTTAAAAGTTTAAAGTTATCGATCAAAATAAATTTCTCTGAATAGAGTTTTTATTTCCAGAACCCGACTGTTGCCGTCATGTCTGTCAGTACTCTTAATTTCTTAATTACATAAAAGTTGTACTGATTAACTCTAACTCAACTAGATTATTTATTACATCGAGTGGATGCCAGGACGTATACGGTTGCTAGGTTTCCTTTCGTTTGCACCAAAATTCAAAGAAAAGTTAAAATGCTTAAAAGTTCAAGCACAGCATCAGTAAGCATGTTGCTTGCCTAATAAAAGAAACAATCTCGGAGCATCACTGCAATGGTGAGTCATTTTCTTGAGCTGTGATGCGTGCGCGCGCATGTGTGTGTGTGTGTGTGTGTGGTCTGAGGTGGTGGCGGAGCACTCATGCCTGCAAGGAAACCATAAATGGGAATCCAGGATGAACTATATAGATTACCATGGCAACTCAGCCCAGCAGACTCATGGGAAGCTCCATTCAGTTTGCCTGTGATGTCATCAAAATGAGCCCTAATCTCTCCATCTTGTTCTTGGAGGAGATGTGAAGGACACACGTGCACACAGATGTTCGGATAACTCATTAGCATGTCTGTCGAATACGTCATTAGAAGGGCACATAACGAGGGGTTACTCTTATGGAGGGGAAAGAACTGTTGACATTGTTTTGATCGAGATAACACCTGTGCAAACACGCACACACGATCGCGCCCCCTTCAGACCTCACTAATGAAAGCTAACAGTGTATCCCGGAGGACTGATCCTCTTTATATTAATAAGCATCTTCCTGTGTGCAGCTGAGGTGTGACATTATATCTGAGATTATCTGAGATCCCCCTCGTCCTGTCCTTCCTGGCTTGCTGTCGCTCTGTCATCCCTAATCTTTCACACTTCTTTTTCCCTCTCTTTGTAATCCATTTTATGTCCTTCTCTAGTTCAGTCCCTCTCAGCCTCAGCAGCTTGCCGGGTAGAGAGTCACATGACCGCGGCTGCTCGGGTTGAATAATGATGAAGCAGATTCGCACATGTGGACACAAATTTACATACACATGGGGTGGGGGAGGGATTGGGGTCACTCTCATATGCCGGTTTCATGTAGAGCTTTTTCTATTGTTATGTAAAAACTAGGGCTGACGATTGATTTAGATTTTAATCAAATTAATTCTTTAATATTAAGAGATTAATCAAATTGATTGCAATTAATCAAACAATGCAATATTTCCTGTAATGTTCAGTGAGCACAGTTCCTTTCTGTATATAGCCTAATGTTTTTATAATTAAATCAACATGTTAAATTAACAGCCATAGCAAAATCACAAAGGATCAGAATAATTTGGAAAGTACTGAAAGTAACCGTGTGAGATACTAAAGTGCAGTTCAATGGGATGTTAAAAAGATTCACTATGACAGTGATGAATCCCACAGCAGTTTTTTTCCATTAAATAACCTCATTTTATACTTAAAAACAGATTTTACTCCCTGTCTTCCAGAAACACAAACAAACATAGCACTTACACAGGCTTAAAGACATGAACATTGCTTAAGCCAAAATGAAATCAACATGAAATCAATATTTACCATATTTTAGCTTCTAAAATCTGTAAGATCTGTTTGTGAACAATTCATCAATCCATGTTACTCCGAATATTAAAAAAAACTTGATACAATCTAAACATTTAGCCTGCCAACACATATCAACAACTGCGTCCAAAGCAACACGATCTAGCTGTTAAAACACATGAAATGGTAAAATATGTGATAAACAAAAAAATGCTAACATTATAGTAAAAATTTAATTAATTAAAAGTGAATCACCACCAGTAACAGGGAACAGCTTTAAATCCCCCTCTCTGCAAATCAGTTGAGCCGATCTGTTTAATGCCAAACATTAGGCTGTATCAAAAGGTAACTTCACGTCTGCTGCCATGGTCCATAGATATAAACAAACTGCTTCGGTGTGTCGCATGTACGTCGTCATCGTCTTGCTGCTCCCTCCCCGTTTGTGATTGGTTCCCCATCTCAGGGGAAAATTTGGTTCATGGTGTCCAGGCTGCCTAGCAGCATGAATAAAATAGCGCTGTGGCAAGGCAGCATGGGGAAACCCATGCTAAGAAACACCTGACTCTATTATGGTATGTAATGCCCATTTTTCATAATCCAATCAATTCCCAACAGATAATATCACGCCCTACATTTTAGTCTCACTGAATATCAGGGAAGTAGTTGCTTCTTCTTTAATTTTCTTTTGTTTTTCATTGTTTGTTGACTATCTAAAGCTAAAGACTTGAAGGCACAGTATGAAAGTTTTTCCTCTATAGGTCGCTAATTCATTGTTTTTACCAAGTAAAACAATGATACACATTTTTTATTTGACAAACAAAGTGACCTATGAGTGGTGATTTAGTACTTTTTAGGGGCTATTTCATTAGAATAAAATACATCATGCAGTGAAAGAGTGTGGAATCATGGGAGTTGTCATCACCTCCAATCTGACAGGACTCATGTTCAAAGATGAGCTAATGTATTATTATCGTTACTGTGTTAAAAGCACCGAGGGCCAAGAGCCTGGGTCCTTTTACGTTGCTGTTTTTATTGTGCTTCGCAGTCAGGTGCTGCTGCTCCTTTGCTGGATGACTTGTGTTGCTAAATATCATGAAATTGATTTTTAAACATTGTATGGTAGAGAATAGGCTGTAGTAATGTTACTACAAATAAAGCTCTTTCTGAATCTGAATATCCCACTTTACTTTTTGTGTACAAACATGTTAGTCACAGTAAATCAAATAAACTAGACTATATAACAATGATTCGTTTTCTGTCGATAATCCAAACGGTATCCAAACAGCTGATCACCTGTCTAATAAAACACATAATATATTAAAGTG